TCCAGGCGGGACGCCGTACCCGCGGGCGGGTGCTTCCAGGCGGGACGCCGTACCCGCGGGCGGGTGCTTCCAGGCGGGACGCCGTACCCCCAGGAGAGCCCGTCGTGGGAGCATAAGTCTCTGGACAGCCTCGGGAGCTTTCACGCTGACTTCCCCGACAACATGCGCCAGGACTTCAGGAGCCGTGGTAGCTGCAGCTGCTGTGGGAGGTGAGGGGTCGGGGCAGAGCTGGGAGGTGACCAGAAGCCTGGCGAAGGGAGTAGGGGAGTCCAGGCCCCCTGCAGGCTCCTTCCCCTGGGCGCCCCGGAGTTGGGGGCCTGGAGGAGGGTTAAAGGTCAACGGGCTTGGGGGTTGGGTTTGGGAGACAAGGGGACCTGGGACGGCCGGGGCAGAGGAGGTCGGAGAGGGAGGAAGCGCCCCTGCCGAGTCCCCTTTGGAGGCAAAAACTGAGCCCAGGCAGTGTCCTTCTTTTTATTGTTTGTTTTTAATATTTAACAATTTTTTTGAGACTGTATTTGGCCCTGTCGCCCAGGCTGAAGTGCAGTGGCGCACTCCTATCTTCAGAGCCCAAGCTATCTTCTAGCAAGCTTTGCAAGTTAGCTGGGTCCTGCATGCCTGGGTAATTAAAAACAAACCACACACACACACAAACGTTCTTTCTTTCCTGGCTAATTAAAAACCACACACACACAAAAACTTACTTTCTTTCTTTCTTTCTTTCTTTTTCTTTCTTTCTTTTTCTTTTTTTCTTTCTTTTTTTCTCTTTCTTTCTTTCTCTTTCTTTCTTTCTTTCTTTCTTTTTCTTTCTTTCTCTTTCTTTCTTTCTTTCTTTCCTTTCTTTCCTTTCTTTCTTTCCTTTCTTTTCTAAATATAGGGTCTCACTACCTTGCCTAGGCTGGTCCCGAGCTCTGGGCCTCAAGCCAAACTCTTACCTCTTACATCGATCTCCCAAAGCACTGATTACAGGTATGAGCCACTCAAACATTCAGTTGACCACAGCGGCATGTGCTGCACAGAGCTGGGTTGGGGAATCCCAGAGGAGGAGACAGTGTAGACATCCTGAGGTCAGCTCTACTGAGGCAGGAGAGTACCTTGGTTTCCAAGGTTCAGATAGCAGACAGGACATGAAATCAGGTCAAGGATGCCACCCCTGTTCCCCTCCTGACTTGGATGTGGTCAGAAGAGATGTGGGGCTGATGTCTGGGCGGCTTTTGCCTTCTCTGCATCCTCTTTCTCTGACTTTGTGGCATTCAGTATAGGAGGAAGAAAGGAGAGGGCTTTGTGCCAGTACGAGCCCCACTCACAGTGTGCTAAGCAAAGCCCCCCCATCCCCCAACCAGCCTTCCTCCCTGCCAGGCAGTGGGTCATCTGCCTCTTAGTCGTGGGTCTGAAACTTCTTGCCTGGGTCTGGGATGTGGCCCTGGGCTCATCCTGTCTCTGGAGATACTGGGCCCTATCCACTCCGAGGAGGAATTCCTGGCCCCACTGGCCCAGGTGCACAAGCCACCCTGGCTGTTGACCTGTCACCTGCAAATTGTCTGTCTGTTCACTGATAGGCCTGGGGGCACAACTAAGAAGCACGCTGGTTTCGGATCACTTTGGGGGCCTAGAAGCTGAGCCCAGCCCTTCTCTGTGCAGACGGGCACCACCCTGGACGTGTTGGTTCCCTCCAGCTTCAACGACATCTACTAGGACTGGCAGCTGTGGCATTCTGTTGGTTGGGTGTGGTGTGAACTGGAGGTGACCCTGCTGGAGCGGTGGACCCAGGACCTGTGCACAAGAGGGGTGCTGAGGATTGGCAGTGCCCACTCCTATACCATCATGGTCAGTGTGGCCAGGAGCAGGTAGGGCAGGTGGGTGGGCATTGTTGCTGAACAACATGGGACCTCTGGTTGCCAGCCACAGCTTGTCTCCTGGGGTGGGATGGTGGGGGCCCTGTCCTGCCCTGCCCTGGGGGCTGTGCCCTGTGTAGAGGGATAGGTGGCCTGATCCACCCTGTTGGGATGCCATTCTTCCCATGTGGCTGGCAGGCCTCTGAGCCCCCTGCTGCAGGTTATGTGAGGGAGTGCCCCATAGCAGGGCCCCTCCTCATGCCCTGACCTGCCACCTCCTCCCCATATCTCTTGTGTCTGCAGTGGGTGAACGGGTTCTATGTGCTAGACCATGAGAAGGGCTACCTCCCTTTCAAGGCCAACATCAGCAGCCTGGTCCAGGTGGGGACCCTGCCTTCCCACCTCCATGTCATGATCACCATCAACGACACACTCACCCCCTTCCCCCTGCCACCAGGGACCATGCACTACGTGACCGACACCTCCAAGTGTATACCATCCTGCCTCCACTGCCTGTACCCACCTTCAAACTCCACCCCATGGTCTTCCTGCTAGGGATAGGGTGGCCTTTGAAGATTGGAGGCCCTGGATCTGGCAAGGCTGTGGAGACATTCCAGCTGAGGTCAAAGGACCCAGGGCAAGGACCCAGCAAACCACAATTCTCCCACCCTAGATATCCCAAGGGTTAGTTTGTCCAGAACACAGAATTTGACTTCTTCAACTCGGCAGGACTACAGCGGTCTGTGCTTCTGTACACAACACCCACCACCTACATCCATGACACCATCACCACTGGTGTGGAGAAAGACAGCGGTGAAAGCTTCCGGCAGGATCCTTTCTTAGTGGGTCCCAGGGTGGCTCTGTTTGGAAAGCTCTCCTAGGAAAAGGTTCTCCCAGCATCTCTAAACCCTCACAGGTTCCCATTCACCCATGAAGCTAAAATCCAGACTGTCAGGCACTGGCTCCCAAAATCACCTGTTTGGCCTCACTTGGAGAAGAGGGGTCTGGTCTGAGGCCACACAGCTCAGGGTGGCCATCCTGTCCCTTCCCCACGGTGCTGCCCTCACTCCAGCTCCCCTTGGTACACATCGTGCTCAAGGAACAGGCAGCTTATGAGGTACTCCCCTGGCCCAAGCCCCACCTGAGGCCCCTTCATGTGCCCCCAGGCTGAGCAAATATCAGTGTTGTCTGTCTGTGGTTTCACATTGAACTAATTATATATCCTAATCCTGCTGAACTGTATGCCTTGATGACCATCTCTCTCCATCCTTTAATGACCCTGTGGCCCCCGTGGCTCATGGGTGAAGGTGTGCTGGGCCCAAGATGCCCCCTCCCAGGGTGGGCTTCCAGGACTCAGCTACTGGACAGTGACAGTCAGCCATGAGGGATAGGGTGGGACCAGGGCAGGGGCTCTCCTGGCTGCTGATACCTGTTCACCTGACCCCCAGCATTGCTGCCACCCCGCTATAGGTGACTAAGGTGTGGGCCCAGGGCACCTTCAGACTCAACCCCAATGATGAGGACAGCCAATGAACACCACCTGAAGGTAAGACCCTTGCAGCCCCATCACTTTCCTGGACACCCTTCTCCACCTGGCCCTGGGCCACTTTGAGCATTAGCACCATCATTTTGTTTATTTTGCCATTGGCAGACAGCAGTGGAGACCTCAGGACATGGGCCAGAAGCAGCGGTTCATGCCTATAATCCTAGCACTTTGGGAGGCTGAGATGCGAGGTTCACTTGAGGGCAAGAGTTCGAGACCAGCTTGGGCAATACAGTGAGATTCTATAACTTCAAAAAATTATTTTTTAAAAAAAAGACCTCAGCAGAAATGGTGAGAGATTTGGGCAGGACCCAGAGCCCTGGAGTAGGGAGGGAGGTCGACAGGGCTGATGTTGGCACAGTCTATATGCGCAAAGGGTTGAGCCCTTTGGGCATATAGACTGTGACCCTGTGCCTCCCTTCCCCTCAGGAACTCAGCTTATTGGCAAAACCGCAGGGAAACTGCGCACGGGACATAGCCGGAATGATCAGGTGCCTCTAGTTCTTCCAGTCCCCTGCTCCGTGCTGTCCCAACCATGGGGAGCCCACGGGGCAGTTAGAGCTCAGCAGGGTCCTGGCTCCCCAGGGAATCAGCATGTGGGCCTCACTGAGCACCACCTCCTCCTCATGCAGGTGGTCACGGACCTCAGGCTGTGGATGCTGCAGACCTGCTCCATGCTCCTGGGTCTCCTCTGGGAGCTCATCAGGACCATGGTGGAATGGTCAGAAGTGTGAGTTCCCCAGGGAGAGCAACGGGGCAGACAGGTGTGATGGCAGCATAAATAGCAGATTTAGGTGGCAGGGCTGAACAGGGTGGGGGTGCCAGGCCCTATGGGACAGGGGCATATCAGAACTCTAGGATCAAGGCAGGGCAGCCAGTAGTGGAGCATTTCCTGCAGGCCCTAATACTCGAGTCCATGCCAGTCTAATCCAGCAGTCAGGGAAGACTCACCCTTTGTGGGGCCTGGTGTGGTGGCTCACAACTGTAATCCCAGTACTTTGGGAGGCAGAGGCAGGAGGATCACCAGAGCTCAGGAGTTCAAGACCAGCCTGGCCAACATGGTGAAACCCTGTCACTACTAAAAATACAAAAATTAGCTGGACGTGGTGGTGTGCACCTGGAATCACAGCTGCGTGGGAGGCTAAGGCTGGAGAATCACTTGAACCTGAAAGGAGGAGGTTGCAGTGAGCTGACATTGCATCACTGCACTTCAGCCTAAGAGATGGATTCAGACGGTATCTCAAAAAATAAAAAGTAAAATCCACCCTTTATGGATTTGAGGGAAGGAAGCTAAGGTGCTATCTTGGCTGTGCCTGGAACAGCCAGAGTCTCTCCCCACCCTGCCTGTGCCCTAGCTCTTCCATCCCATATTCCGTGTCCCCACCCAGCCCATCTGGTGAAAGAGCCAAAGGCTGCCTCCTGCTGGCCTCATCCCAGGCTTTGGCTTCTGGGACCTGGTGTCTCTGGGTTTGGATTTGTTCCTTGCAGATCTGGATGGGGAGCTACTGAGGAGTCACCATGTGTTGTTAGAGACCCCTCCTCTTCCTCAACTCCCTGTGAACCCTGTTTCTCAGACCGGGGGGGAAACAAGGGCACATAAATTGTCACCCTGGAGTTGGGGTGGCGGCTGCTAGGAGGAACAGGGAGTGTCTGCTACTGAGTTCAGGGTTTCTTTAAATTTTTTTTTTTTTCTGAGACAGGGTCTTGCTCTGTTGCCTAGTCTAAAGTACAGTGGTGCGATCTCTCCTGCTTGCCAGCTCCACCATCTGGGTTCAAGTGATTTTCCTACCTCCGCCTCCCAAGTAGCTGAGATTACAGGTGAGTGCCACCACATGCAGCTAATTTTTGTATTTTTTTCAGTAGAGTTGGGTTTTGCCATGTTGGCCAGGCTGGTCTCTCGAACTCCTGAGCTGAGGTGATCTGCCCACCTTGACCTGTCAAAGTGCTGGGATTACAGGCATAAGGCACTGCGCCTGGACCAAATTTTAAATTTTTAGCTTTTTTCTTGAGACAGAGTTTTGCTCTTGTGCCCAGGCTGAAGTGCAGTGGCACTCGGCTCACTGCAACCTCTGCTTCCTGGATTCAAGTGGTTCTCCTGCCTCAGCCTCCAGAGTAGCTGGGGCTACGGGTTCATGCCATGCCTAGCTAATTTTTGTATTTTTTAGTAGAGACCAGGGTTTCACCCTGTTTTCCAAGATGTTCTCAATCTCCTAATCTTGTGGTCCACCCATGTCAGCCTCCCAAAGTGCTGAGATTACAGGCATGAGCCACTGCACCTGGCCACATTTTTAATTTTTTAAGTTGTCTTCAGAGAAGATTTCTTGTTCTGTCACCTAGGCTGCAGAGCGGTGGCTCGATCATAGCTCACTGCAGCCTCAAACTCCTGGATTCAAATGATCCATCCACCTCTGCTTTCTGAGTAGATAGGACCACAGGTGTGCACCACACCTGTGAATTTTTAAAATATTTTGTGGAAATGGGTTCTCACTATGTGGCTCAGTCTGGTTGAACTCCCAGCCTCAAGTGATCCTTCCCTCTTGGCCTCCCAGAGAGCTGGCAATACAGGCTTGAGCCACCATACCTGGCCTTGAGTATAGAATTTGTTTAGGGGATGGTGAAAATGTTTTTAAATTGGTGATGGTTGTACACTAAAGTGTAAGCTTTAAATGGGTAAGTTATATACGAATGATACCTCAGCAAAGCTGATTTATTTAAAACAAAAAAAAAAAAAAAGGCCAGGCGAAGTGGCTCATGCATATAATTCCAGCACTTTGGGAGGCAGAGGCAGGTGAATCACTTGAGGTCAGGAGTTCGAGACCAGCCTGGCCAACATGGTGAAACACTGCCTTTACTAAAAATACAAAATGGTGACTTGAATGAGGGGTAGGGTGTCCCACCTGCTTGGAGCGGCTCTTTATGAGCCACAGCTATTTCTTGGGTCCTCAAACGAAACATCCCATGGCCAAGTCATACCCGACACTGGCCTCCTCCCCTTTTCTGGCACCCACTCAGAGATGCTGAGTGACAGAGGCCCAGGTTTTGGGTGTTCCTGGCAAAGCCTCACCCCAGGAGCCCCACAGCTCAGGCCCAGTGTGTGGTTCACACGGCCACACTTCCGGCCTTTTTCCCTTGAGAGCAATTTTTCCTTGGGAGATCCTGGATCCCTCATTCAGGTGCAGTGCTGCAGGACAACACTTCTTTTAGGGATGACCCAGGCCTTCAGGGTTCCAGTGTCACCAGCAGACCTTGCCCCAGCCTCCACCCGAGCCCCTGCTCCTCCTCTCCCACAGGGAACATGATGTCCTCTTCCCAGGGTACAGCCACCTGCAGAGGGCCAAGCCCCTCCACTGGAGCCACTGGATTCTGAGGTGACTTGAGTGAGGTGCAGGGGCCATGCTGGAGGGGAAGACCCTGGCTGCCCTGACCCTCCTGCCCCTGGCTTTCCACAGCCACACCATGGCACTGACCCGAGACTCTGAGCAGCTGCTAGAGGTGCAGAAGTGGATCAGTGTCCTGCCCCTGGGGAGGTGGGTGAGGCTCCAGTGCTCTGAGGGCCTGATGGGGGTAGCTGCTGCATAGCCTTAGGGATTGACAGATGAGCTGGGAAGGGCAGAATGGGACAGAAAGTCAGGTTATCTGCCTAGAGGGGGACCTTGCATGGAGCCCCAGCTCTCACTAAGATGGTGATGTCCAAGCCAGTGAATGTTTCTGAGCAGGGCCAGAGCTCTCTGGTGAGGCTCCTGGCCAGCCCAGCCTGCTGCCCTGAGCATGACATATGGGGACATTTGTCAGGAGACCAGAGTCCTGCACCCAAGGCGACTCAGTGCTTGGGGATAAGTGTTCTGGGGACACTTGGGGATAAGTGTGCACCCAGTTTGATTGGGCCAGGGAAGGGGCTGAGCTCCAGGTGGTTGCCCTGGCAACCACAACTTGGTTCTGTTGGGGGTGTGTGAGTGGAGGTTGGGGAGGGGTCATATGCCTTTGAGGAGCCCTGGTCACCACGAATCCCTGTCCCTGCAGTGGGGCAATTTTGGGCAGTCCCCTTGGTTGTGGATTGAGAGCTCTTCTGTGCAGGTGAGATGCCCTTCCCCTCCTCCCTAGGGGGAGTCACCCTCAGGACCCACCAGGACACGAAGCCACACCTGAGACCAGAAGGCAGGGGCCTATGGCTCTTGGTGAAACCTTCATTTATTGCCCATGGGCACTGAGGTCTTCCATGGCATGGGTGCCTGGTACTGAGAGACTCAGGGCTCCTGCCTCCCTCCTAGGACTGTGCAAAAGATGCCTCACCCTGGCTCCCATCCTGTCTGCCCTGTCACTCTTTCCAGGAGGAGGGGGATGGGAAGCCTAGTTGCGGGAGAGGAGGCCACTCCCTGTGCTCCAGCCCAGCCCTGCTTCTTCCCACAGTCCAGAACTCCATTGGGACCATCACTCTCAACAGCCTGGATGCCACCAGTAAGCGTAACTTCATGGGTGAGTCTTGGGGAGCCTGTCCCCTGCACTGTGCCTCACTTTTGCTGCCAAGCCCTACTTCTCTGCAGTCTCCTCCTACTCCTGTATAGTCAGGTTGGTTGTGGTTATGGTGGTACACTAAAGTGTACACTAAATAAGTAAGTTGGGTGGGGGACAGTGGCTCACATCTGTAATCCCAGCACTGGCCAACCTGGTGAAACTCTGTTTCTACTAAGAATACAGTACTTAGCCAGGTGGGATGGTGGGTGCCTGTAATTCCAGCTATGTGGGAGGCTGAGACAGGAAAATCGCTTGAACCTCGCAGGCCAAGGCTGCAGTGAGCTGAGATCACACCAGTGCACTCCAGCCTGGGTGACAAGAGTGAAACTTTATTTCAAAAAATAAAATAAAAATAAATAAATGGGTAGATTATATGTGAATGATACCCCAGTAAAGATGGTTTATTTTATTTTATTTTTTCAGACATAGTCTTGTGATCTCAGCTCAATGTGTCCTTCACCTGCTGGGTTCAAGTGGTTCTCCTGGCTCAGCCTTCTGAGTAACTGGGACTACAGGCACGCATCACCACGCCCAGATAATTATTTTGTATTTTTAGTAGAGATGGGGTTTCACCATGTTGGCCAAGATGGTCTGGATCTGCTGACCTCTTGATCTGCCTACCTCGGCCTCCCAAAGTGCTGGGATTACAGGAGTGAGCCACCATGCCCAGCCAAAGCTGGTTTATTTAAAACTACAACAATAACACAAAACAGGCTAGGTGCAGTGGCTCACATTTGTAATTCCAGCACTTTAGGAGGCCAAGGCTGGAAGTTTGTTTGAGCCTAGGTGTTTTAGACCAGCCTGGGTGACATAGGAAGTCCCCATCTTTACAGAAAATGAAAATTTGTCGGGCATAGGGGCTCATGCCTCTAATCCCAGAACCTTTGGAGGCCAAGGCAGGTGGATCTCGATGTTAGGAAATCAAGACCATCCTGGCCAATGTGGTGAAATCCCATCTCTATGAAAAATACAAAATTAGTTGGCCATGGTGCCAGCTACTCATGTGGCTGAAGCAGGAGAACCACTTGAACCCTGGAAGCGGAGACTTCAGTGAGCTGAGATCTCACCACTGCACTGCAGCCTGGCAACAGAGCAAGCGAGGTCTGGGCTAGGGTCAGGGTGAAGACCAAGGTAGATCAGGGCCAGGTAAAAGGGGCAAGGCCAGGACCAGGGTGAGGTCAGGGCCAGGACAGGACTAGGATAGCACATGGTCAGAGCCAGGCCAGGACGAACACAGGGTCAGGGTCTGGGCCAAGGCCAAGGCTGGGCCAGGGACAGGGACAGAGTAAATGCAGAGCCAAGGAGAAGGCAGGAACAGGGTGGCTCCAGAGCAGGGGCTGGACCAAGTCAGAACCAGAACAAAGTAAAAGCAGGGACAGGGCAGTGCAAGGCCAGGATGGGACCATGACTGAGGAAGGGCAAGACTAGAATATTACAAGGCATAGCCAAAAGCAGGGCAATGTAATAGCTGTGGTAGGACTAAGAACAGGGCCAGGTTATGGTGGGGCCTCTACAGGGCCAGAACAGAGTTTGACAGGGCAGGGCCAGGGCCAAGGAGGAGGCAGGGCCAGGGCCAAGGCTGTGCCAAGGGAGAGAGTGCTAGTGTAGGGTTAATGCAGGGTGAAGGGCAGGGTCAGGGCACAAACCGTGCAGGGTAAGATGGGGCAATGGCATGACTGGTCCTTGGCAGGGACTAGTATAGCATAGCAGAGGGCCAAGGAAAGCCCAGGGCAGGAAAGGGCCTTGGAGGCCTCAGGGCCAAGGAAGCTGCAGGACCATAAGCAGGGCAAGGCCAGAGTCAAAACAGGACTAGGGCCAAGTGAGGGTCAGGCCTATGGCATGATGACTGGCAGAGTGAGGGCCATGGGCAAGTAATGGCCAGGACAGAACCAGAGTCAGAGCAGGCCCCTGGCATGTGAGCAGTGTAGGGTAGGGTAGTGGGCAATTCAGTGCCTAGTCAGGCCTTGGCCAGGGCAGAACCAGAACCAGGACAAGGCCAAAGCTAGGGCAGGACCAGAGCTGAGTCATAACCAGGGAAAATCTAGGGGCAGGGCCACAACCAATGACGCGACAGGGCCAACACCAGTTCAGGGACCTGGCAGGGCCAGGGCTTGGCACAGGTGAAGGTCAGGACCAGCACAAGACCAGGATAGAGCAGGGCTAGGGTAGCACAGAGCCAAGGCAAGCTAGGACCAGTACCAAGTCAGGATCAGTAAAGGACCAGATGATGGCAGGGCAGGAACATGGAAAGCCAGGGCTGGGATATGGACAGGACAGGGCCCATAAAACAGGTCCGAAATGGGCCAGGACGATGACAAGGCCAGAGAAAAGCCAGGAAAAGGGCAGGGTAAGGGGCCAAGGCAAGAGGAGGGCCAGGCCAGAACCAGAGCCAGCACAGACCAAAGGCCTTGGCCAGAGCCAGGCAAGGCCAGGGTAGGGAAGGTCAGATCAAGATGAGAGCCGAGGCAGGACTATGATACATAGGGCTAAGGCAGGGCCAGAGAAGGGTAGGGCCAGGGCAATACCAGGGCAGAACAGGGGTAGGGCAGGGTCAGCACCATGTCATGCCTGTGGCAGGTTCAGGGACAATGCTGGGCCTGAGGGGCCAGGGCCAAGCAAGTATACGGTGGGTCCTGTGCCAAGGCACAGCCAGTGGGGGCCAGGGCATTGTCAGGGCCACCATAGGGCCAGGCCAAGGCTGTGTCAGGGGTAGAGCCAGACAAAGGGCAGGGCCAGGGAGGTCCCAGTGTAAAGGCAGGGCCAGTGCAGGGGCAGAGGTAGCACAGGGCATGGCTAAAAGCAGGTGAGGGCCATAGTAGGAGCAGGGCTAGAAACAGGGTTAGGGAAAGCACTGGGCACAGCATGGCAGGGACAGGGCAGAGGAGGTCAGGACCAGGACCAGGTCATGGACAGAGAAGACAAGGTGTAAGACCAGGGAAACTTCGAGGAGAAGGCACGGCCAGGGCCAAGGCAGAGCCAGGTTAGAACAGGACCAGTGTAAGGCCAATGCAGGTTGAGGGCAAGGTCAGAGCAGAGAAGAGCAGGGCCATGGTGGGTGAGTGCCTGGACAAGCGTAGGGCCAGGCCCAGGAATATTGCAGGACCAGGGACAGGGCAAGGGTTAGCGCAGGACCAGAGTCAGGCCATAGAGAGGGCAGAGCAAGTGCCAAGGCAGGGCCAGGTAGTTCCAGAGTTGAGTGACACCGCATCCTAAGTGCTAGGGCTGAGGCAGGATCAGGGAAAATGCAGTGCTGAATCAGGGTTACATCAAAGACAAGACCAAGGAAGGACCAAGGATATTCATGAACAGGGCACAACTAGGGCAGGGTCAGACAGGGCAGTGGAAGGTCCAAGCCATGGCAGGACTAGGCCAGCGCTGTGACAAGGCAGAGCCAGGCCAGGATAGCACAGGACAAAGGCAGGGCTGGTCCAATGAAAGCACAGGTTCCTGACCATGCCCAGAGAAGCTCCAGGGAAGGGCCAGACTTGGGACCAGCACCAGGAAAGGGCAATTTCAGGACCAAGGCAAAGAAAGAGCAGGACCAGGGCCATGGCAGGACCTGGATCAGGAGCAGCAGTCAGGGCTGGGGCCACATCTCCTTTAGGGACAGGGTAAGGGCCAAGGCAGGACAGGGCAAAGGGGCGAGACCAGGACCAGGTTGAAGTCAGGGCCAGGGTTGGACTAAGATAGCACAGGGCCAGGGCCATGCCAGGCCAATTTAGGGCCGGGGCTGGGCCAGGAGCAGGGCCAGAGCAAGGGTAGGGCCACAGAGAAGGCAGGACCAGGGAAAGTCCAGAGACAAGGGCAGGACCAGGGCAGAATGAGGACCAGGACAAAGCAAAGGCAGGGACAGCATAGGCCAAGGCTAGGATAGGGCCAGGGAAGGGCTAGGATAGCATAGGACATGGCCAAAAGCAGGGTAGGGCCATAGCAAGGGCAAGGGTAGGAACAGGGCCAGGGAAAGCACTGGGCCAGGGTATTGTGTAGCCAGTACAGGATCAGGACAGTGGATGACAGCACAGGATCTGGGTCAGCCCAGGGAAGGGGCAGGGCCATGATAAGCAGAGAGGACCAGTACAGGATCAATGTAGGGTTAGGGCAAGGCTAGGGTACGGAAAGGCACAGAAGAGAAAGGGAAGATCCAGGGAAGGGCTGGGGCAAAGGAAGGCAGGGTCAGCAACTGGATCAAGGATGGTCTAGGGCCAGAGCTGTGGAAGTGCCTAGGCAGGGCCCTGGCTAAATAAGCGCAGAGCCGAGGTAGGTATAGAGAAGGCAGGGCAAAAGCCAAGGCAGGGTCAAAGCTTATCCAGGGAGCAGCTAGGGCTGGGCAGTGTAAAGGCACAACCATTGCAGGGTAAGATTAGGCAATGGCACACCTGGGCCATGGCAGGGCTGGGAAAGGGCAGTATAAGCATAGCCTCGATGGACCAGGGTAGATACAGGTCAAGGCATGACTGGGACAAACCAGGCTCACGACATGTCCATATACAGGTCAGGACCAGAACAGACCTGGACAGTGACCACTGGCCGGCCTAGTGCCATGACTAGAGTCAGCAGGAGCAGCAGGGCCAGAATCAAACCATGGCCAGCACAGGTCCAGGGCAGGGACAGGGTAGCACGTGGCAAAGAAAGGACCAGGGTTGGGCCAGAGCAGGGCAGGGCACCATAGGGCCAGGTCCAAGGCAGAGGCAGGGTCAGGTCAAATGTGAAAGTCATGCTCAGAGCAGGGAAAAGGAAGAATCAGGGCCAAGAAATGGCAGGGCCATTGCAGCAGATGGCCAAGGAAAGCCCAGGGCAGGGAAGGGGTCTGGATAGGGCCAGTGTGAAAGCAATGACAGGGCCAGAAGCATTGGAAGGCCAGAGTCAGGGCAGGACAAAGGCCACATCAAGGTAAGGACTATGGCTGGAGAAGTGGTAGGATGAGGACCATGGCCCAGCGAGGGCCATGGCAGAACCAGGGCCCGGTCTGGACCCTCGTATTGGCAATGCAGGGCAAGACCTGAACTGGGGCAGGGCCAGAGCCAGGGCAGGATGAGGGATGGGTGATGGCCAGGAAAAAAGGGGCAGGGTAACAGCCAGGGACATGGCAGGACCAAGACGAGGGCCAGGACTGAGCAGAAACAGGGCAGGACCAGAGCCAGGGAAGGATGAGCAATGGGTCATGGCCAGGAAAAAGTCAGGGGCAGGGTAACAGCCAGGGACATGAAAGGACCAAGAAGAGGGCCAGGACTGAGCCAGAAACAGGGCAGGACCAGAGCCAGACAGGAGCGTGGCAGGGCCAGGGCTTGGGATAGGGCAGATTCAGGACCAGCACAAGACAGGGCAGGGCTAGTGTAGTGAAGAGCAAAAGCAGGATAGGGCCAGTGTAGAGCAAGAATGCAGCAAGAGGATGGCAGAGTAGGGGCACAGAAGGCCATGCCGAGGACATGGACCAGGCAGGGTCCACAACAAGGCAGGGCCAGAAGGAGGCCAGGACAAAGGCAAGGCCACTGAAGGGCCAAGGAGAAGGCAGGGCATGGAGGAGCCAAGGCAAGGACAGGGCCATTTGAGAACCAGAGTCAGGGCCAGGGCAAGGCAAAGGGAAGGGAGGCCAGAGTAGGGCCAGGGCAAGGTCAAAGCTAAGGCAGGACTAGGATAGCACAGGGTTAAGGCAGGGCCAGTGAAGGGCAAAGCAACGGTATCGCCAGGGCAGAACCAGGGCATAGTCAGGTCCATTGCTTGAACAGGGCAGGGTCAGTGCCATGCTATAGCCAGGGCATGTCCAGGGACAAGGCAGGACCAAGGTAGACCAGGGCCAAGGCAGGCATAAGGTAGATGCAATGACAAGGCATAGGTGCATCAAGGACAGGGCCAGTCCAAGTCCAGGTCCAGGGAAGGTCCAGAGCAAGGAGAGAGCCAGGGCAGAACCAGGAAAAGACAAAGGCAGGTCCAGAGCAGGGTATGGTAAGGGTAGGGCCAGAGCAAAGCAGGACTAAGGTAGCACAGGGCCTGGCCAAAAGCAGGGGAGGGCCATTGCAGGGAAGGAGTAGGGCCAGGGAAAACACTGGGCTCAGGACATGGCGGGGCCAGAGCAGAGGAGGGCAGTGCAGGGCCAGGACTGTATCATGGACAGAGTAGGCCTGGGGTCGTCATCCCTGGGCAGGGCCAGGGCCAGGCCAAGACAGAGCTAGGGAAGAGCAGGACCATTACAGGCTGAGGGCAAGACCAGATCTTGCAGGGGCAGGGCCATGGCAGATCAGGGCCAGGATGGTAAGGCCAGGGCCAGGAATATCATAGGACCAGGGCCAGCTCAGGGCAAGGCAGGGCAGTAACAGAACCAGGCCATAGGGCAGGGCCAGTCCCGAGGCAGGACCAGGTAGTACCAGGGCTGAATGACAGCTCTGAGTGCAAGGGCTGAGGAAGGATCAGAGAAGGTCCAGAGCTGAGTCAGGGTCAGATCCAAGACAGGACCAGGGAAGCGTCAGGACCAGGGCAGGTCCAGGGCACAACCAGGGAAGGGATAGACAGGGAAATGGGAGGACCAGGCCATGGCAGGGCCAAGTCACCACAGGGACAGGGCAGGACAAGACTGAGGTCGCACAGGATAAAGGCAGGGCAAGTACATTGCAGGGCCAGGTTACAGACCAGAACCAGAGAAGTGCTGGGGCAGGGCCAGCACTGGGACCAGGACCAGGAAAGGGCAATGTCAGGAACAAGGCAAAGAAAGATCCTCAGGGCCAGAGCCAGGGCCATGGCAGGACCATCAACAGGGCTAGGGCTAGACAGTGATAGGACCAGAGTCAGGACAAGGGCCAGAACAGCATGTACTGGGCCAGGGCCAGGCCAGTATCATGATAAGGCCTTAAACAGGTCAGGGCCAGGACCAGGGCAGAACCAGGACTCAGGTCAGGCTGGAGCCTGGACAGGACCTGAGCTGGGTCACGGCCAGGGAGAAACAAGAGGCAGTGTTACAGCCAGTGACATGACAGGACCAGGACCAGGACAGAATCAGAAGCAGGGTAGAATGAGGGCCAGGGCAGGGACAATGTAGGGCCAGAGCTTGGCACAGGTCAAGGTCAGGACCAGCACAAAGCCAGGGCTGGGCAGGGCTAGGATAGCACAGATCCAAGACAGGGTAGGGCCAGTGCCAGAGAAGGACCAGGAAAGGGCCAGGCTATGGCAGGACAGGCACATGGAAGCCCAGAGTTATGATATGGACAGAGCAGGGCCCACGAAAAACAATGCCAGAAAGGGGCCAGGACAAGGGCAAGGCCAGAGAAGGGTCAGGTGTGTATGTATAGGAAAAAGAATAGTGTGTAGGGTTCTGTACTGTCTTCGGTTTTAGGCATCCACTGTGGATCTTGACGTGTATCCCAGGCAGTTAAGAGGGGTTTACTAT